CGGACGGGGTCCCGACAGAAAGAACAAGACCTGACTGACTGACCGTCACTGATTGCTCCCAGAGCTGAAGGGCTTCAGATGTGCCAGGGCATTCAGTACGTGACCTCTGTTCGTCTCTGTCTGTGACCTCTTTAGGTGCACAACTGTGACTCTAAGTGACCTCATTCTAGGATCCCGAAGGGTCACGAACTCGACGGGGCCAACGGAGATATGTCGAGGGAAGAGAATGGCAAGATCTGGCTAATCATTGGGGATGGAGGTGAAAAAACGCTCATCAAAATCGACCATTTGTTCTTACGGATCCAATCCCATGTTTCTTTGGCAGAATATGTTGAAGGGCCCAGGTGGGACGAAGAGCAACATTTCTCACATTTCAGCCACAGATACTCTTGGAGCCCCAAACCCCTTGGCTTCCCATCCTTTCCTCGTCACTTTCTCGGATCGTTGCGGCTCGATGCTTTTGAACATCTTCTCGAGCCTGTAGCGCAGAGCCTGTGCAACAAAAAGGGATACTCAATTCAACGGTATGGCGGCCATACACGCTTTTCCCCATGTTGATCAGGTGCAGCTGGGCACATCTCGCTACGGTGCAGCACCAAGCCTTTCGTTGGGGACCAGCCACGATCTACGCGAGGGTGATTCTGTGTTGTTCGGAAGCCACTCAGAAGCTTTCCTGCACAGACCGGTTGCATTGCCAGAGCTCGCAAGGTCAACGCATGTAATATTGTAGAGATAATACATGGAACCTTTGCAACAGAAGAACTCTCAACTGTTTCAAGAAACATGATGCCCTCAGCTTGCACTGGTGTTGAATTGAGTGAAAGGGTATGGGGGGTACCCTTGATGCTCCCTTGGGGCTTCCATTTAGCCTGTCAGTATTCCACTTTGTTCTTGTGCCACAGAAAACAAATCATTTTGATCCTTGTGCAACGTTCAAGTTTTACAGTATTTGGAATTCCACTAGGTTCCATGGCAGAGATATTTTTTCATATTTTTTTCCTAACTTATGTTGCAGATTCACAGCAACCTGTGACTGACAGTCGCGCATGTTTCACAAGCGATCAAAGGAACGGAAGCCTAAACCAAAAAAAAAAGGAGGACAGACCAAACAAGGAACCCAGCCCAGCTATACCAGTTCAAACCTCAGAGGCTATGTCCGGTCCGCGTCACCCGACTGCGACAGCGCCGGAAGCGCCACGGGTCTGAGGGTCTGGTGGGGAACGCATGGACCCTGAGAACTCAGACCAGCTGCTAGCTGCTACACCCCAAGGCTAAGGGCTCCAGTCGTACCTTCGTAGCTTCGTTTCGAAGGTGGGACTGGGGAGGGTTTAGAAGGTTCAGTCCTACCTTCTGAGGTAACCTGGAGCCCACCCAGTCACACCCAGTGTAACACCCAGTGGGTGCCACTCTCCAGGGTCCACGCGATTCAGATGCTCCGCTCCGCGTCCTGCGCCGACCAAGGAGGCGGCCGATTGGTCGGGATGCCCGCTGGCTCCAGAACAGAGGCGAGGAGAAACCGGGACAGGGTGGATGTTCAGGTCCGGCACACACTATTGCCCAGACGCGACCTGTTTGGGACTGGCAGTCCTGAATCCATACAGACAGGGGTGGTGCCAGGGGGGGTCAAAATGTAGGCATATATGGCATACATGGAGTGTCTGGAATAGTTATTGTTCAATCAAAGCACCTAGCTGACCTAACTAGCTCCCTAGAGGTTTGCGCGCACCAACGCTCGCTCCCCATCGGGCCAGATCGCACATGCATGTGACCGGCTTGCAAGTTCACACAGCAAACTGTTTGCCTGCCCTGCCTGAACTACCCTGCAAAAAAGAGACTATATACTCTCCATACGTCTCCAGAAGGACATGGAAAGACAGGATATCTGAAATTTGGTACATGTCATGTGCACATCTCAAACTGGCCAGGCTGGTCACGTCCGTCCACCGCGACGTGAACACACCGCCGACTCGACGTGAACACACCACACCGCCAACTCGACGTGAACACTCGATTGCCCAGTGGTCTTCGCAGGTTTCAGTGGTGGAGGAGGTGTCCCTCGCTGGGTCAACCCTTAGATCCGAATCAAGACACCCGGATTGAATATATGGTACGAATGTTTTTCTGCAAGGGCTCTCTGAAGTATGTCGCGCAATCATGCTTTGTTCAATTGACAGAGTCAGGAAGGGGTGTAGAATCATGCGATCGCTTTGAGTTTCTTCCTGGAAAGCGATGAGGGCCTGCCTGCCAATGAATTCCACACTACTAGAATGACACTATACAGACTGCAGTACATTGGACCTTTTTTGAAGGACCTCAACTGACTCCTCCGATCTGCAAATTTGCCAAGTTCCATTTTCAATCTTTGGGATCTGTCGTCGTACATGGACCCGCCGGCTGTCCACACCACCCACACCAGGCTGCCCTTCACGCCGGGCCAGCATGGCCTTGTGAAGCGGGTGCACCACGACTGGCTCTACGTCGAGACCGACTCGGTCGAGAAGGTGGCGCCGCTGAAGACCGTGAAGATGGTGATCTTCATGGAGAGGCCGGGTCTCCACCGTTCTCCACCGGGCTCGAAGTCGTGTCGCAGATGTGGCCGTCAGGGCCGTTAACTGCTTCGCAATGGATCCATGATGATCGAAGACGGAGGGAGGGCCTCTTTGTAAGGGGGGGGGTATTCTCAGAAGCGAGCGCTCTCTTTGGGGTGGATGGATGGATTGGAAGAGTCTGACTCAATGAGTTCCAGATGTCCCAAAAGGCACATATGATGTATATTTTGATGATATACCTTGATTTGATATTTCTAATTATATACCTAGAACCTGAATGACTCTGAATGACCTCCATTTTGGACCACCAACCACTCTTTGTTTTTGCCTATTAAAAAAGTATAAACATCGATAGGATCGTCTCCTATCTATAGATGAACTAGGTAGTTAGAACCCTGTTTCCCACCAAAAAGAACCATGTTTGGGTTCACATGCACCGTCTCCACATCGTATCCCATCGGGATGTCCTGAGGCAGCACCGGATCTCCGAAGGACTCGGTTTGTTCTGAGATGACCATGAAGGGGGGGATGGGAGGAGACCTCCAAATCGAAGTGAACAGAGATTCAAAGGGTTCAGTAGATAGACTGATTCTGGTTTTTACACGGGTTCAATACAATGTTTTTCACAGTTTAGACACCATGGTCAAACATTATGTCCGTAGAATAGTTTATGCACTGGGTCAAAGAGGATGTCCGTCGCTGGGTGATTAATGGGAATCAATGGTACTGGTGATTCCAGAAACTCCGTGTGGGAGAAAGAGTTGAAGCTATGAAGCGTCGAGATGGGTTACCTTCTCTTTCTGCATTGAATCCCTTTTTTGGATCGTCCTTCTTGGTGCCCTGGTAATGCCTGGTAGCGGCGGTACACTGTAGCAGTCACCGCTGACACTTGCTCGGCATGTGTTTTTTAAATGTCAGATCAAGATGATGAAGTCTCACGATGACAGGGCTTCAACAGATGACCCACCCAAACCCGTGTGTGATAGAAATTAAAATCCGACCTATTGGAATAGTTGATGTTGTTTTGAGGTTAATTAAGAGCCTATATTTAAACAATTCCAGTCTCCACGCTCATAAACTTGCTCACTCGTGACTTGTCAGGAGAGGTGCCTCAAGAGATTCAGCTACAGCTTGATGCTACATCAAGCGATGCCAATCGACTTCGCGGCATTTATGCTCGCCAGGGGGAGCACAATGGCAAAGTCATGTACCAAAAGGTGGACGGTGATGCCACCATCTTCTTTGATGGACAGTGGAAGATTGGTGTGCGCGGTGTCTTGTTTCTGGAAGATCGGCGGAAGATCAGTGCACATGGAGATGGCCAACTGCAGGATTGTTTTGGGGGACACCTATCTTGGAGCCATACCTGACATACTGAATATCATCATATAACTTCTTCATCCGTTCCCACAACCAGCCGGGTGTTTCACATGGTTTCACATCTCTTTGGCATGGAATTCGGGAGCCAACACTGACTGGGAAACTGCACTGACTGTCTTGTCATTCAGCGCAATAGGCAAAACATGTGGTGTTTCCTTCTCTTGGCTGGGTAATATAGATATTTCCCGCAGGTCAGATTCAGAATCTCAGCCACCTGAGGTGTGGATGACTGGATCTATTGCCATCCAGATGATTCACTGTCCTATCCACCTTCTGGTCAATGGACAGGAGCAGAAGGATCAACGGATCCTGTTCCTACAATCAGCACCGTACCACAGGCGGTGCTCGTGGCAAATGCCAGCGCAAGCATGAATGGCCGCTATGCTCGAGCTGAAGACTTCAATGGTAAGCCGAAGTTCCGACAAGTGGGTGGCTCTGGAGTACTGCACTTTGATGATGGCTGGAAGATCAAGAGTGCGGAGACATCAGATGATTCATATGAACATTCAGAGGATTCCATGGTGCCTCCTGTAGGTGAGTGGAGAACACTGATGGGAGGAGACTCTCCAAGACTGTCATTTCTTCAGATTCCCAGCATGTCTTCAGCTCCTAGATTCTTTTGGGTTCAATCAGCTGGCGGCGTGGGTGAGTCCACCAACGGCTGCTACGTGTGCCTTGGCTCAAGCAATGGCAAGCCCAAGTATTGGCAGATGGATGGATCGGGGATCATCTACTTTCGAGGAGGACACTGGAAGATCAACTATCGAAACGACCAGGGCGGGTGGTATTACCAGCACCCGGATGGATCTGTGAGGGTGCCTCCCACAGAGGGGTGGACGACTGAGGGCTATACTGGTGATGCCGAGCCGGCGCCTTCGCTCCACTCCCAAGAGAGGTATTCCGCCGAGGGCTTCCAACGAGCTCACCCGCCCTTCCTCGTGGTGACGGGCGCTGGGCACTCGGCGGTGAACGGTCGATTTGCACATGTGGGCTTTCACGAACGCAAACCGAAGTACAGACAGCTAGGTGGCGACTCCATCATCTTTTTTGAAGCCGGACTATGGAGGCTCAATGACGAAGAGAACACCCGACAGCGCAAGTACGATGGGGCACGGGGAGATACCCCCCCTGCCGCCGGCACGGTGGGAACAACTGGGGCAACGCTATGGCAATGCACCAAGCTTGTCCTTGGGAACGAGCAAAGACATCCAGGTAGGAGACAGTGTGGTCATTGTAAAGGATGATGCGGACGTTGACTGGTCCAACTGTCCAGAGATCAGTGCGTCCTCCAGGAGACTCTTGTTCTCCCCTCCCTGGACCCTGACGGTGCATCGGCTTCAAGGAGACTTCTTTTACCCCACGAATTTCCCGGAGAGTTTCGCACCGCTCGCCGCGCTGGGTCAGGTGCACCTCATGGGAAAGCCACATCGTCTGCTTCCGCCCGCGAGCGCGACGACCTCCAGGAGTTCGACTGCCGCGCCCGCAAGTCCCGCGGAGAGTTCTGCAGAGAGACCAGAGGTGACGGGTGGGTATGATGAGGACTGGGCATTAGATCCAGCAGAGGTGGACAAGTTGAAGTGCCCCATTTGCATGTTGGTGGCACGGAATGCCATGGCACATGATTGTGGATCGGTGCTCTTCTGTGAAATGTGCTGGGTCAAATGCTTGGCGGAGGACAGCAAGTGTCCGGTTTGTCGCAAGGATGGTTCCAGCATCGCGCCAGCACACTTCGAGCGAAGAGCCATCCTGAACCTCATGGTGAAGTGCCCCAACAACTGTGGTGAGAGCTTCAACTTGTGTGACAAGGCAGGCTGGACAGGCCAACCTCGCAGAAACAGGTCTAGTATTTGACCATAATTGACTCAGGTCTTTCGGTACATCCCACTGCTCAGGGCGTTGATTTGGAAGTCTTGACAAACAGATGCACTTTGGGGCATCGACTTTCTTGGCTGTGACGGCTAGGCCAAACAAACAAGCACCGCTCCATGTTGCCGCCCATGGAAGGGAACGTGGTTCGCAACAGTTCGCATTGGGGAGAGTTCAACATCCTTAATCATCTTAATCATCCATGTTGCTTGGGTTTGGGGGGAAATCAAGGCCACAAAGCACCTCGAAGCGCTCGGAAATCCTTTCCATTTGCTTCAACGTTCGAACGATGAGGATCTTTCGCAGAAGCTTCGCAGAAGCGCCGAAGCTTCGCCGCCGCCGAAGCTTGCGCCCCCAGGAGAAGCACCTGAAGGACTGCTCCGCCAGGTTCACGCTTTGCCCGCTTTGCCAAGAACAGGTGCCACCGACGTCCGACCTCCGACGTCCGACGTCCGCGGTGGTACCGAACCGAAACCGAGAAGATGACCGGAGACGGACGGAGGCGGAGACGGTCAGACTGGCGCCGGGAGGAGGGTCCCAATGAGCTGAGAAGGTGGATCCATGGGGAGTCGAAGATGCCAGATAGATCCAGATAGACCAGACTCCAAGATCCCAGGTTCACCTGGAGTCCAACCTGGACCTGTGTCCCAAAAGAGCTGGGCCAGGAGGGTCCTGGTATGCAATGATATGGATGATGCATTATGCGTATGAAATATATATACACTTAGTCCCTGAAGAGGTCACTTACAGACTCCAAGGAGGTCACGAACTGAAGGTCCTGGTACGTATTATAAAGTATCATATCTCCATATATTCCCTTTTATGACGCGCCATGTTTGTAGACATGGTGCTGATACCCCTCCGGCAGTGACGATGATAGTTTAATCATGTTTGATCCGTTGATCTTGCTTTTCAGCGACAAACAAATCGCATAAAGCAGCCATCTAACACATTAGAAACATTAGAATGTCATTTCTTGCTTTCCTCCAACACTGGTGCCTTGGAAGCCGACCTTGCTCTGCAAACAAGGGATTTTGGAGTTACAGTAAAGACATGTGAAGCTTGGGATGTTCAGTTCCGGTCCAGGTCCCCACGAATGAGTTGGAAGCGCACTATGCCAGCAATCCGGGGAAGCACATCATGCAGATCATGACACTGCTGGATGAAGTCACGCAGTTGCGAGAAGAAGTGAAGCAGCTGAAGGAACAGCAAGCTGGTTGACAGTGACACCAATCTCTCTCTCTCTCTCTCTATCTCTCTCTCTCTCTCTTTTAGTTTTGTAGCTTTGATGCTCCAAATCTGGCACTCGGTTCGATTAATGGTAAGCGCACCCAGTCGCGCAGTGAAGAGCACTACACGCGCTACACCAAAACACCCCGCTTGTTTAAATCGTATCGAATCCCAGTTTCGAAGCTTCGTGGCCTCGATTTACTTTACACTTTTGAAGGCCTCGTAGAGCTGCCATAAATAGCCGTGGCAAAGCTTTTGCTAAAGGCAATTGGGCAAGCTCTGGCCTTAACAAGATCGAACAAGGCCCCGAGTTTCGGCCCGGTTTCTGGATGAAGTGGCCTGTCAAAGACAGGACCAGCGAGACCTGCGCTCAAAAACGAGAGCGACCGCCATCGTCGCCATTGGCACTCGTCGAGTTTCATCACCCACCCGCAGTCCCATCCATCCACTTCGGCATGCCTGAATGGCATCGATGCGCGGAACAAACCATCAGAAGATCCCTGTCCCAGACACGACTAATGGGACTGCCATATATGCCGCCCCATTGACCCCGACTTCAACCACCCCATGTAGGTAAATATGCCAGTCCCATGGAGTGTCTGGGTGGCTGACGGAACCCATTCGTCGCCGACCGACCGACAACTCGTCGCTCCCCCGCCGCGTGTGGCTCGAGTTCCTCGCTCGCTTCGGCCGGGCTGGCCCGGTCCCACCCAGCGCTTCATGCGAGCGGCGCGCAGCCTGCGAGCGCAGCACGTTCAAGGTGCAGGACCAGAGCAGCTGGCAGAGACAGGGCCCGGATGGAGTTCGGAGATCATGGGATATCCGAGATAGGTTTACCATTGTACCCACCAGAGCCCCCTCTAACGCCAGGGTCATGGTTTACCCTAAGGCTTGTCCAGTTCGACACGATTTGGACCGGCTGAAGTCGAGATTCCCGACCTACTTGGGTCACCGATTCTGAATCGTCGACTTGACTCTCAGGGTTTGGTCTGGTAAACCGTGGTTTCCGAGGACCAAAGGCGACCCCATGTCCTATCTCGATGGGGGGTTCCAACCACCGACGGTCTGATGGGTCTGTGGCCATTGGTCCTCTGATTTCCACGAGTTCACCACACGAAGGATCTCTCGCGCTTCGCTGCGCTTCGCTTCACCCCTCGGTCTCTTCGTCTCCATGCGGGGTGCGAGGGCCGGAACGATCGATGCAGTCGTTGGAGTCGTTGGCCAAAAATTCTAAAGCTTCCTAGCTACTACTGTAGTATTGGCCTCCAACCTAGTAGCGATGGCCTCCACCTAGTAGCTTCTATAGCTGCTAGTTCTTTGGGTGTTGTGTATAAAGTCATTTTGGGGGGGTTGTTCACTTCCATGTTACATGTTAGTGAGTCAGAGTGTAGTTCTTTTGGTTGGTGTAGTGAAGCCAAGATGACAATCAGTTGGACAATCAGACTTCATCAGACTTCACCACATGACAGTTGTGCGGAAGAGAGTGGTCAAACTGAAAGTAACTGCAAAAACAACTGTACAACTGTTCCGCTCAAGCTAACGGATCGTTTTGAGGTTTGACATGTTCCTCATGTTCCACAATCGCGGATTCCACTACAGTAACGATTGCAGGAGAGGTGCCCCAAGAGATTCTTGTGCAACTCAGTGGTGAATCAAGCTCTAGCAATCAACTGCGTGGCATCTATGGGAACCATGGCGAGCACAATGACAAGGTCATGTACAGGAAGGTGGATAGCACTGCGAGCATTTATTTCGATGGCCAATGGAAGATAGGTTTGCATGGTGCCTTGCATGGCAAGGCTTCTCAGGAGTTGTTGTTGATGCTGTTGGCACTATGTGACACTCACCTGAGGAAACCACTTCCAAACCCCCCCGGAACGGGGTTTGCCGTGTTGAACCAGGCTGCCTTTTAGAGAGTAAGACGAACTCAGTCACCTCGCCGGAGCAACTGAGAAACCAAGAGAATTCGATTAACAAACTGCTCCATGATCCAAGGTGACTGGGTTTAGATCAGAGCAGATCTGAATGCAAATGATCAACCAAGCTTGTGGGTTTCACATGGTCCGCTCAACACAGCTGATGGCTGTAACCTTGACATGACACTTTGCCATCAACCAAGCTCGGGGGGGAACATCTAGATGTTTCTCCTAGATTTGACTCTGAAACGCTTCTCAGGTGTCGATGACTGGGTGTATTGCCATCCAGATGACTCACTGCCACACCCACCTTTGGGTGAATGGACAAGTGTAGAGGGATCCACGGATCCCGTTCCCACCATCTGCAGTGTTCCACAGGTGTTGCAAGTCGCAAATGCCAGCGGAAGCATGAATGGCCGCTATGCTCGAGCTGAAGACTTCAATGGTAAGCCGAAGTTTCGACAGGTGGGTGCCTCTGGAACCCTGCAGTTCGATGATGGCTGGAAGATTCGGCGAGAAGAGTTTTCGGAAGATTCGACCTCATACTACCATCCGGATCATGCCGCCCTACCTCCTATGGGCGACTGGAGGACTCTGATTGGAGGAGACTTCCCCAGCGTGTCACCTGTTCATGTTCCCATCTCGACGGCGTCAAGGTTCCTTTGGATTCAAGGTGCGGGTGGCAGCGGCGAGCTGACGAACGGTTGTTATGTGCACATCGGCTCCAGCAACGACAAGCCCAAATATTGGCAGATGGATGGTGCTGGGATCATTTACTTCGCAGGTCGTTGGAAGATCAACCACCGAGATAGTGAAATGGGCTGGTACTATCAGCACCCAGATAGCTCTGCAAGTCAGCCGCCCCTTGACGGGTGGAGCACTGAGGGCTATTCGGGCGATGCTGAGCCTCCTCCGTCGCTTCATTCACAGCACAGGTATTCCGTTGAAGGATTCCAGCTAGCACACCCGCCCTTTCTGGTGGTGAAAGATGCGGGGCATGCACCAGTGAATGGCCGCTTTGCACAGGTGGGCCTTCATGAAGGCAAACCCAAATATCAGCAGGTCGATGGCAATTCGATCCTTTTTTTTGAATCAGGCCTATGGAGGTTGAATGATGAAGACACCACCGGACAGAGGAATTATGATGCCGTGGAGGGAGATTTCCCTATGCCTCCCAGCCAATGGGAACATCACATCATTTTTGGCACTCCACCCAGCCTCTCGTGGGGCACCAGTCGAGATGTGCAAGAAGGAGACACTGTGATTTTTGCTCAGGATGATGAAGATGCTGACTGGTCGAACTGTCCAGAAGAGAGTGCGTCAGGAAGGAGGTTGCACTTTTCTCCATCCATGAGGGTGACAGTGCATCGCCTCCATGGTTCTTGGTTTTACCCCACAAATCATCGAGAGAAGGTGGCTCCTCTAGCAGCCGTGGGCCGCGTGCTGTTGCTCGGTAAGGCTCATCGCATGATGCATGGAACGGGGGAGACCCCAAATCTCTCGAGTGCAAGTCCTTCAAGCATTCGCGACTGGGCAAACGGATTGGTCCATCTTTTGAGATGCCCAAAAGGTTTGAGATGCCAAAGTTTCTTTGCCCTTCATAGCTCAAGCTAGTGCACAAGCTATATATAATTCGTTCGTGGCAATTTAGGGCTGGTCCCAGCTGAGCTCAGCTGGGCCTAGTCATCTGCATGTTCCCAGCTGGGCTCCTTCTGCGCATCCTGAGTGACTCAGGAGAAATTCCGCAAGAAGTCCTGGTGCAACTGGCTGTGCCGAGCCCCGCCCCAGACGCCCATCGACTGCATGGTACCTATAGGCACCATGGGGAGCACAATGGCAAAGTCATGTACCAAAAGGTGGACGGTGATGCTACCATCTACTTTGATGAGCGCTGGAAGATTGGTGTCCGCGGTCTCTTGGTGCAGAATCTTGTTCTTGCTCCGTAGAAACAGGACTTTTGGAAACCAGAGTTGGTTTGTGCGTATCTTTCTGAAGTCTCTTCATTTATCTTCACGTTTATCTTCACGTTTGGACCTCAAGCAAACCCCCAGTGTCGGAGCAATAGCATGTATAAAATATTGTAATTATCATGTGTGGATGTATTGATACCATGCATTTTCACAATTCTGCCAATGTTCTTTAAGTTGTCCAGATCTTTTTGATGTTTTTCTTTTTTTAAAAACTTTAATTTGTTTGATGCTTCTCGCAGATTCACCAACCATCCTCTCAGGTGTCGATGACTGGGTGTATTGCCATCCAGATGACTCACTGCCGCACCCACCTTTGGGTGAATGGACAAGTGTAGAGGGATCCACGGATCCCGTTCCCACCATCTGCAGTGTTCCACAGGTGTTGCAAGTCGCAAATGCCACCGGAAGCATGAATGGCCGCTATGCTCGAGCTGAAGACTTCAATGGTAAGCCGAAGTTCCGACAAGTGGGTGGCTCTGGAACCCTGCATTTCGATGATGGCTGGAAGATCAAGGCTGCAGAGACGTCGGACGGTTTGTATTCGCATCCGGATGTGCTCGCAGTTTTGCCACCTTCTGGTGAATGGACACTGAGTGGAAGCGAAGTCCCCATCGTGTTGTCACCTGTTCATGTTCCCATCTCGACAGCTCCAAGGTTCCTGTGGGTTCAAGGTGCGGGTGGCAGCGGCGAAGCCACCAACGGTTGCTATGTGCACATCGGCTCAAGTAACGGCAAGCCCAAATATTGGCAAATGGAGGGCAAGAGCATCATTTTTTTTTAGACGTCAATGGAAGATCACCGATGAAGATGACGAGAGGGGATGGTATTATCAGCATCCAGATCGATCAGCTCAAAGTCCACCAACAGAAGGCTGGACCACTGAAGGCTACATGGGCTCAGCGGCACCGCCTTCTCTTCACGCCCAGCAAAGGCTTTCCAGGGAAAACCTCCCCACGACTGCTGCGGCAGCGGGTGTGCAGAGGGTCTCCCCACAAGCCACGACTGCTGCGGTGAGTCTGGAGACGCCAGAGGTGACGGGTGGGTATGATGAGGACTGGGCAGATCCAGCAGAGGTGGACAAGTTGAAGTGCCCCATTTGCATGTTGGTGGCACGGAATGCCATGGCACATGATTGTGGATCGGTGCTCTTCTGTGAAATGTGCTGGGTCAAATGCTTGGCGGAGGACAGCAAGTGTCCGGTTTGTCGCAAAGATGGTTCCAGCATTGTGCCAGCACACTTCGAGCGAAGAGCCATCCTGAACCTCATGGTGAAGTGCCCCAACAACTGTGGTGAGAGCTTCAACTTGTGTGACAAGGCAGGCTGGGCAAAGGTTCACCTTGCAAAAGTCTCTTCCATCCGAATCTTATAGACTCTTCCATCATTTCCCATTTGTAGAATGCTGGGTCCCGGTCGCATCCCCATCTCGGATCCATGTCCAGTCGCGGCGCTTCATTCGTTTGGGGCTACACCATGCAGAGTCTGGGAGGGGACCGTCCGATGTCCATCCCCCCTTGGACGGCCCGCCTTCTTCGGAACGTCCGAGTCGAACACCGAGCCGAGCCGAGGAAGGCAGACGAATTCGAAGGGCCGAAGGGTGTTTCAGCGTCAGAAGCATACGTGGCACCATTCTTTGGGTGCATCACCCAACCCGACTTGAAGTGTCGAACTCATGTCCCCCTGGCCAAGTATTGTCCGACCACCCACTGACTGCAGGAGAAGCATTTGAAAGACTGCCGGGCGCTGTCCACCACCTGTCCCCTCTGCAACGTTCAGGTGTGCACCACGAAGACTGGGGAAGACCGGGGGAAGACCGTGAGCATGTAGTTTCACCGGATACCCCGCATCTTTCAATGAGTCCAGTCAGTCGAAGTTTGAAGTTGTTGTTTTACTTGTTCATGACAGCGCAGGGCTGTCCATCAGTTGGCTGTGTGTTATTTGTTCAGAAGATCAGGCTGTTGGCTGTTGGGGTGGAGGAGTCCTGGGTACAGACCGGACTAGTGAGTTCTTCTACTATAGTTAATACTAGCAACATCTAGCAACTACCATCATGTATATAGGTTTATATTACATAAATTAACCCAAGGTCTCGGTGAGACATTCGGTGATTAGGTCCCCACGAATGAGTTGGAAGCGCACTACGCCAGCAATCCCGGGAAGCACATCCTGCAGATCGTGGCACTGCTGGATGAAGTCACGCAGTTGCGAGAAGAAGTGAAGCAGCTGAAGGAACAGCAAGGGGGGACCTCCGCAGTGATTCTGGTTTTCGCCACAAGTACAAGTCAATGATGCGCAGTACTTGCAGCAGTTATGGACAGAGCAAATACACACCTTAGTTGTTTGATGTCGGGTCCTGGCTGGGGTGGTGATGCTGCAAAGTTGAAAGAGTTGCCCCAAGAGACTCCCTTTTCTACGAGCCATCATGCACCAAGACATGGATTCCCGTCGAACAGCGGTCACCACACCCCCCCGTGGGATCTGTGAGGAGTCTTGTAGAGCTCTAGGACGCCGACATAGCCATGGCAAAGCCTTTGCTGAAGGCAATCGGAATGCCGGCTTTGCTCGCCTCATGATTCATTAACACGCCTTGTTCTGGCCAAATCACCACCTGTGCCTCCTGTGCCTGTCAAAGACAGGATTTGATTCACGACTGCCTGGGATCGTGCGGCAATCTCCGGTACCTAGCGGACAGAGTGGCCGCGGTCATGTGAATCAATCACAAGGTGACCAGGCAGCGGTTCAATCGAAGTACTTTCCACTTGGACCAAAAGGCCGACCAGCGCAGCGGTTTCGGTCAGGTTTTGGCCTGTTCCCAGCATTTTCCCCCCCTTCAAGACATGACCGGAAAGCGGCTCTAGACTCACCCCAAAACTCGACAGAGCTACTAGACCAGGGACCATGGGATGGTACATGCAGCATCATGAAGCCCAAAGCAAGGAGAAACTGGCCGGACTTCATTAGACCTATAGGGCCCCGGGCCCTGGTACTCCTCCCAACCAGAACCGCTACCAACATCATTGCTTCCAACAAACCACCCGTCGTTTTGCTGCTGCTCTCCAGTCCGCCACGCTGCCGTGCTGCTCGACCAGCTGGCTGCCGCCCACGAGCGCTTCAGCTGGCTGCCGCCCTTCCCGGCTCCACGCCATGACGCCTACGCCGTGACGACGCCTCGTCCCCAAAGAGGAGAAAACTCGAAGTGCGAACTTGGGGTGTTTGAATTTGGGACGTCTGTGAGTATCAGTGTCCAGCCACTGCATACAGGAAAAAGAGTTACACAGTTGAGTGCGCAGTTGCCAGTATAGTGATCACGTGTGGATGTTCGCAAGAAACAGAACTTGGAAGCCAGGAAGAGGAAGTTTTTGTTTTGGGGGGGGAGTATATGAGAGCATGTTCTCCGGTGTCAAGACGAAGAGATCCAGTTTTGGGCCGATGCTTCACCCGCAGTTGATCTTGCAAAGGGCAACATGGGTCCGTCCAACCATCTCCGATCCGGTGACCCGTGATATTCGACCCCCCCTGGCATCCACCCACCCCTGGCACATCTTCGAAACGGAGGTGGGCCAGGAGCGGAAAATCATATACCGCCAGGAATCCTAGGGCGGAATTTCGGTTGGTCCCGACGGGGCTAAGATCCGGGTCGACCGCGACGCTGTCATCACTGCATGGGTTCGGTCCCTTTTCGATCTCGGCTATAAGGCAAAAGATGGGTCAGGCTCAGATCCCTAATTTTGTAGACTAGCTATTGATTGATAAACCCTCCCAAGCATGAAGAGGTTTTTCAATCCAGATGGGGAGGTGTTCTTAATCAATTAAGAGTCTACATTAAGGCACCATCATGGCTGCAGCATCTCGCTTGATTCTCTTCTTGTTGCATGTCCAAATCACTCGCCGCCCACGCTAGCCACGCAGGCTAGCCGCGCAGGCTAGCCACGCAGGCCAGGCTCCTTGGCTCCCACAGCCGCACACCTTCCAGACTCGCTGGGATCCTTCTGGCTCAACAGCGGCAGACTCGACCCGCTGATGAACGCGCCGCCCACGCCGCGTGGCGTTCATGCGCGCGGCTCGCAGCTTGCGCTCGCTGCATGAGACTGAAGGAGAGCCGGAGAGCTGGATTGAAAAACTCCATGGAAGTTGATGCCCTTGTTACTAGTAGCTTCTTGTTCCTAGTAGTCATGCCAGCGCCCCGTTCGTGTCGTCCGGGTTGCGTCCGGACGCTACTAAATAGTAGAAATGCGCTTGTTACTTAATGCATCCTAAACCTGCAGTGGGGAATTGCACCAATTCACCGATGCTGAAGAGAACGATGAGTCTCAGCAATTGAGTATGTTTATAGATCTTTATAGTATTTATTACTCTTTCAACACAGAGGGGCAGGTAGAGATCTCGGCTCCGTTTCGCGGGTGAGCGCCACCCGAACTTCATCGATCTTGGACCAAGACTGTTGGTTCGCCGCGTCGTCCGAGACTGTTGGATCAACATAAGCTTCGACCTCTTGGTCCCATGGGACTCCGGTCACGGAAGCCGAAGGTGACGAGATAAAGAATTGGCCTGAAACCAAGATGCAGGGTCTAGTCTTCGGAAAGCCTCCATCAAAGCAAGGGATAAACATTATGCATGGTTTTCCCATCTCCCAAAATGTCTAAAACTATATCAGTTTGCATTAAATTGATACGTATAATTCCGTATCATCAGTCTGAAAAATACACGAGTTTTTGAAAGGGAAACCAGTCTCTATATCACTCTAGAGTATGGGCTCCGAAAAGAAAGCGAAGGAAACCGTCGTTGCTCCGCCGGCGCTTCGCTAAACCGAAGCTCCATCCAGGAGAGGATGGCGAGGGAGTCGCAGAGTCGGCAGAGTCGCCAGCCTTCCTGGTGGTCCGATGCGCTGGACAAGTCTCGATGAATGGACGTTATTTCCAGGAAGGCGTTTTCCAAGGAAGGCCCAAGTACAAGCAGGCAGGGTGTGGGATGGTGTGGGGTTTTGGGGCAGGGATGTGGCAACGACCTGGACCTGGTGGATGAACGGGATGGAGAGTCGAAAAGAGTGCCTCGATGCCAAGCCAGAAAGGCAGTCTCCAAAATCTTTAGACTTTCACACTGCAGTTTAGGGACCATCGCCAACTCACATTCGTCCTTCTTAAGCCTTGTTTGTTTCCATTTCCAGCAGGTCGCTTTCCGTCTCTGTGTCGCACATGCCGCGCGAGTTGTGCCCACGTCTTTTTGGGTGGCCACATGCCCGCGAAAACGTGGCGAGGTGAGCGGCCAAGGCATCATCTATTTTAAGTATGGAGGTTGGAAGCTGAACGATGAGGATGACACGGGTGGTTGGTGCTATGAAGCTGCACAGGATTCATCGATGCCACCGATGCGTGCCTGGAGCACCGCGGTCTCCCGATCCTCGGTGGGGAGGGCGCCAAGCCAGGGGAGGGTCGAACGGTGAGACCATGACGAACATGGAAGTGGATCGTATACGGAACATAGAGCGACGACTGGTGGTCTCAGGCCCATATCGGCCCATGTTAGGCAGTAAACAAGACGGGACATATCGTCTTCCAGGGGGGGTTAGCTGTCCGCGAACTCATGGAATGTGAGTTAGAGTGTAAACTCGTTGTTGATTTGGACATTTGTCAACAAATGAAAATACACTGCCATGGACCATGAATGTATGTTCCAAAGGTGATGGTCAGTGTTGAACCCGATGGTGTTTATATGTGTTAAGAACAAACATATTTGTCGACACTTGATCCAGCCAGACCACTGTAGCCGCCATGCCGAGGATATGGAACTGCGCCGAGCCTATGCTTAGGAACCTGTCAGGATATCGAAGAGGGTGATTCAGTCGCCTGGCTTTGAGGAGTGATATTTTGCGACGCTGCGAGAATGGGGGGAGGGATAGACAGGATCAATTCCAGGAGACTGTATCTCGAGTGAAAAATACAACACGAATCCGAGTAATTATTATGCACTTCCCATGACAGCTACATACAGCTACTCTACGGCCGAGCGGCCACCCAAGGTAAGAGAAGATGACAAAGGAAAGTGCCGGGAGTAGCGAACTGAGTAGCGATAGATTCTCAAATTCTGTGAGCAGTTCTGAACAAGCACCTCATAGCAGAACTAAGACTACCTCATATACCAGGACCTTCCAACAGGTGGTTTTTGGCAACCTCTTAACCTCTAAGAGGCTATTTATAGACACCTCTTGGGAGGTCCTGGTCACGAAAGGTAGCCCTTTAGGGGATACCTTGAGTTTGTCTTGCGAAGCAAGTGTTTGCGCGTCCGGGTTCAATAATTGATCATTCAATTCAACCCCCCCCCCTCGAATTGATTTCTC